TATATTATAAATTTTATTTGTTACCTAATATTTTTTCAATAAAAATTAATATACAGTGATATCATATGTTAAATAATAAATAATTTATTTTAATTAATAATTTAAAAAATAATTTATTATTACTTTTTTTTAGCCATACCTCCTATTTAATTCACGAATTTGGGGTTTCTAACTTTCTACCCCATTGAAATTGGCACGTTTCCGTCCCACCGGTCCCCATACCAATTACTAAGATTGATCAATTTCAACTCTCAAGTGGTCCAATTTTAAAGAGAACATTTTCTTTCGTTCTATGCAGGGTACCAAGGTAGTACAATAATATTTGTAACTTTAGCTTTGTATTTTCATTTTTATGATAACTCTCTTTCATTTTTTTTTACTTATTTTACCAATTGCTATATGATTTAAAGAGCAATACTAGGGAAACTCGCCTCCTGCACTCTCCGGCCAACACTTTCTCTTTTATTGGGCCACGTTATTTTCGTTCCTAAGAGGTTGCGCCCAAAAGCTCTAAAGAAGCTTACGTGGCCCAATGAAAGGGGAAGTGTTGGCCGGAGAATGTCAAATGCAAGTGCCCCTAGCATTGCTCATGATTTAAATTCAAAAATTTTCAATTTTAAAGAGAAAGGAAAGGTTATTATATTACAGGAATTATGTTTTATAATTCAGACAATAAAATAAAAATCATTGAATGAAAGAATAACTCTAATGATAGTGGCTTAATCTCTGTATAATGGTTAATATTATACAATTTAATGCAATGCAAATTATATAATACTCTTTCCTTACATTATTCAAGACACCAAAAATTATGTACTTTCTTTTTGTTAATTATTCAGCTACGGCTTGAGGCATCACAACTTAAATTATATTTTTTAGTATTTACTATTAGGATGTTCTCAAATTTAATTTTTATATTTTTTGAGATTAATTTTATCTAAAATAATCGTTTGAGTGTTAACTCCAAGACTCAAACTTTATACATGATTAATAAATAATATTTATTTATCAATAAATTTAATCTTTAAAGTTGTCACAATTTAAATTATTTTTTTACATCAAATGATAGATTTATATAATAAGAATTAGCCTTTCTCTCCCCTTAATTCTTCCTTGTCCATCTCAAAATTCAAATTAAAAATATTTTAACTTAAAATTACAAATTCTTAATTACTTAAAACATCATTTGAAAGTATTACAATTTAAGTTAATTAATACAAATCAAAATTAATATGTTTTTTCGATGAGTGTTACATCATATATTCACAGACACTTGCGCAGGCATGCTTGTTGTGTGGGTTTGGTAGACGTAGAGCACGCGAAAATGAAAACGAAAGCCGTGCATTCCCTGCGGTTAATTTTTATACGATGCACAAAATGACACGCTCGTTGCTTTGGTGGGGGCTCATTTTGGTCCTAATAGCTTGATGGGGTTCACATTAGAGTAGACTCCACATAAAAATATGTCATAAAAATAAGGCAACTATATGTATGTTACAAAAAAGGAAAAGGAAAAAGAAAAAAAGAAAAGAAAAGAGTGCAATTCGAATTATACAATTTATCTTATTAAAGGAGAGATTTTTTTATATTAGAAGTTATTTTTTATTAAATTATTTTTATTTTATAATTTAATGTAAGTTGAACTATAAAATAATGAATTTTATATATGTAAAAATTATAAATTTAATAAAGTAACTTTTTGAGTTGAGATATTATTTTAAAAGAATGTTTATTGAAATGATTTTTGACTAACGTTTAATAATTTAATTTATTGCAATAAATAAAAATATTTAAATTATCAATAATAATAATTATTAATTATTGAATTACATAAAATTATTAACCTCTATATATGTTCATTACAAGTACTTAATTAAATTCCCTTAGATTGGATCTCCAGAACAAATAATGGTATCCAAGCCAAGTAATTCTTCGATATTAACATAGCATAATTTGTCAGCTCTTGTCAATATATTTACTTCAATCCTAACTAAAAATCTACGAAAAAATTCCCCAGCTTAATCAACATCACATCATACCCCCTGAACACCTTCTAAAAATAATAAATGAAAAATTACCCCCAAAATGGAAACCCCAAATATCAAGAATGGTGGAGAAATTAACACATATATCTTCTGTTTTAACTTTCTAGGAATGTATAAGAAAGAGGAGACATATATAACACAGATATTAAAAGAAAAAAAAAAATAAATAATGAATGAAAGAAAGAAAGAAAGAGACATACCCCCTAAAGCAAAATAATGGAAATGTCAAATCTTTGTGACCAATTTTAGTGCTTATCGGAAGGAGTTCTCTCTTCGTAGCATGTATGGTCCCTTTTGGGTAGAAAATCTACATTAATAAATTGAAAAAAAATGGTATAAAGTTGGTGAAGCTAATATTAATTGTCTTATTAGAAAACATATATTTTTAATTGTGTTCTTTATACCGTCATAGATGATGATGGCAACATGTATATATATATATATATACAAATTAATATTTGGAGGGTCCATAAATAATTATTTAACTATCTAATATACATGATGATGGTTTTATTTTTAAACAACTACCATTTTTGAGTTAAGAGAAAGGGATTGAATTCTAACTCATGAGATAATATTAGGAGGTAAAACATTTACCAAACAGCCTATAAAACTAGGTGCAAAATGATGATTTTCTTAGGATTTGTGGATTTTGGAGGATATCACCATGATGTGTTATGCTTTAATTATTGCACTAAATTCCTAATCTAGCTATACATCCTTTCCTTTCCCATCTTAAGCTTCTCTAGATATGGAGAGATTAGTATATATGGTAACCAAAGATGACCTCACTAGTCACTACCAAGATCCACCACTTGATTTTATTGTGTTTTTAATATGGATTGGCAATAATGGTATTTAACCATAACTACAATTTTTTATTCGCTTAAAAAACGAAAAAGAAAAGAAGAAAAATTATTGATGGGATCTTATGCATCATTTTAGCCTGCAGGTTTGAATAAACACATAGAGACAATCTGAGAAATGATTCAGTGCCTGAAAAGGAT